GAATGGAGCAGTCGAGGCAGCCAACAAAAACATAAAGAAGATACTTCGGAAAATGGTAGAAGGTTCGAGGCAATGGCACGAAAAATTACCATTTGCGTTGTTGGGATATCGCACTACTGTTCGTACTTCGGTAGGTGCAACTCCTTATTTGTTAGTATATGGCACTGAAGCAGTAATACCTGCAGAAGTTGAAATCTCTTCCCTTCGGATTGTCACTGAGGCTAAGATTGATGATGATGAGTGGGTCAAAACCCATTTGAAGCAGTTGAACTTGATTGATGAAAAAGGATTGGCAGCAGTATGTCATGGCCAATTATATCAAAAGAGAATGGCAAGAGCATACAACAAAAGGGTGCGTCCTCGAAAGTTTGAAGTGGGTCAGCAAGTGTTGAAACGTATCCTTCCACATCAGGTTGAAGCAAAAGGCAAGTTCGCCCCGAATTGGCAAGGGCCATTTATTGTAACCAGAGTATTGTCCAATGGTGCTCGATGTTTAACAGATATCGAAGGAAAATGCATAGACATGGCCATCAATTTTGATGCAGTCAACAGATATCAACTTGGCATTGTTTCGAAAATTGGAATGACAAAGACAATTTGTTCTGCTATCTAAACACACTATCCTTTGTTTCCCCTTTTGAGCCTTATTTATTTTATTTCATACCCCTCTTTTGGAATCAATAACGAAAAAGAAAAAAAAAAGAAAAAAAAAAAGAAGCGAAAAGAGAAAAGAAAACAAAGAAATTCAGGTGTGAACTACGTTTGACCTGATTCCTGTTAAGGATATGTAGGCAGCCTCATGGCTCAGTCATAGTAAAATAAAATATCAAAAGATCCACAAGCAAGAAACTGGGGCAAAAGTTGTACTTGTAATAAGAAATGTGATTCCAAGAGTTGTAATTTTAAACCCATGTCAAATTGTTTTGAGCCTTTGATACCCTTTCTTTCTAACCCCATTCAAAAGCCCACATTACGGTCCAAAGAAAGACCTTCCGATCAGTCTTCGAAAGATGCCAAGTTGAGCAAATAGAGGTGATTCATATCAGGATAACACTCTGGTCCAAGCAGGGAAAGTAAAAATGAGTATTATTGGTGAAAACCCTCATGGGCACCATGAGGCGACGAAAGCTGAGAGAAAGTAAAAATGAGAGAGTCTTATCGGTGAAAACCTTCACGGGCACCATGAGGCGACGAAAGCTGAGAGAAAGTAAAAATGAGAGAGTCTTATCGGTGAAAACCTTCACGGGCACCATGAGGCGACGAAAGCTGAGAGAAAGTAAAAATAAGAGAGTTTTATCGGTGAAAACATTCGCGTGCACCATAAGACGACAAGGAATTGAGGAACAAACAAATGAGAGAGGTTTGTCGGTGAAAACCCTTCAGGGCACTGCAAGTCGAACAAGGTCCGTAAGTTGGCAGAAAGTAAAATTGGGTTGTGGAAATCTTGGAGAACAAAGTAAAACAATTGTAAAGGAGATTGGTTAAATATACTGGGCTGATTAATCCAAAATGCATACCATGATCATTGATGTCAGTGACTCCACTCAGATAAGTTCTTTTTTCCTATCTCCAACAGTCATCCAAATTTGGATTTTCTTCTTTATTCTTAATTCTCAAAATCGTCGCATTTCATTGCTGTTAATATTTACTACTCTAGGTTAACCTTGTTCCAACAAATAAGAAGGAATGTCAAAGTGTACTACCAGATTCAAAATTGCACAAAGCAAAATACGGCTAGGACATGCTGGAGATAGTATGATAAAAAGTGGGATCTAGGGTGTAAGCAAAGGTTAAATCGATGGAATGGTTCAGTAATGTCATGAGAGATGTATGGTGACGAATAAAAGGGTCAGAAGTGAAAAACAACAGTTGGGGATCCTGCAGTTAAGGATCAGTCATGAGGTCAAAACAGTCCTTTCGACCAGTTCAAGGCAGTCTGTTGAAGCAAAGCATGGCAAAGAGAAAACCATCCCCAGCAAGAATGCCACAAGTAACCACCACATTTTAAACTGACAAGATTTTCTTTAATTTGAAACAGGGGCAAAGATGACATTTATTTCATGAAGCACCCTGTAAGGAAAGCAAGTACCATGCAGGTTTGATCGTATAAATTCTCAGGACCCTCCTGAAAAATGAGACTTAGCTTTAATTCAAAACATTCATGAGTACAAGATCTAACATAAGTTCTACTTCGTGAAAATATAAGTTGATTTGAATTTTTTATTTTTTTAAGACAAGCCTCAATTCGAAACTTCAGGACCCTATTGTAAAATAGGACCTAGGTTAAAATCCAGAAAAAAATATAAGTAGTGAATATAGGACAAATGTGCACCAAAAGGGATATAAGTTGGCTTCAAAGTTCGCATAACAATTTTCAGGACCCACATGAATAATGGGACGTAACTTTAAGCATTCAATTAGATAAATGTTGTTATAAGAGAGTACAATTTAGCCGTAAAATTGTCACTCTTAAGATAAGTCTTGATTTTTGATTGTCAGGTCCTTCCTGGATAATGGGACGTAGTTTAAAACTGGCTTGGATAACAAGATTTAACATAAGACATACCTTCAGTAGATATAATTTAGCTTTAAAATGGTCGCTAATTAAGAGTTGTCAGGACCCTCCCGGATAATGGGGAGTAGTTTAAGACCTTAGATAACAAGATTTAGCAGAAGTCATACCTTTAAAAGATATAACTTAGATTTAAAATTGTCGTTTAGTTAAGAGTTATCAGGACCCCCCTTGGATAATGGGACCTAGCTTTCAAATTCTTAGTAATATTTGGTAATATGATTCAGTTTAACACTCACAGATGCGCCCAACTACCAAACTGGGGCAGAAAATTTCTTTTGTTTTGTCTATTTTTGTTGAAATCAGGTACTCATATGAAGAACAGGGAGAACAACACGGATGTTAAAGATAAGAGCATGACCAAATACTAGCAATCAGGCGGTCCACCTGAAGAACAAAGAAAAACAGTTGAAATATCAGCAATCAGACGTCCACCTGGAGAACAAGAAAAAACAGTTAAAATATCAGCAATCAGACGTTCACCTGAAGAACAAGGAATAACAGTTGAAATATTAGCAATCATGCATCCACCTGGAGAATAAGGAAGAACAATTGAAGTATCAACAATCAGGCGTCCACCTGGAGAACAAGGAACAACAGTTGAAGTATCAGCAATCAGGCATCCACCTGGAGAACAAGAGAATACATTTCAAGTTTCAACAATCAGGAGCCCACCTGGAGAACAAGGGAATACATTTCAAATCTAGCAATCAGGAGCCCACCTGGAGAACAAGGGAATACATTTCAAATCTAGCAATCAGGAGCCCACCTGGAGAATAAGGGAATACATTTCGAGTTTTAGCAATCAGGAGCCCACCTGGAGAACAAAGGAATACAATCCAAATGTCAAGTAGTCAGAAGCCCGCCTGGAGAACGAAAGGAAGAAGCAATTCAAGTTCGAGTAATCAGGAACCCGCCTGTAGAACAAAGGATGCTAATCAGTCTTTCAAATTAGATTTTTATCTAATTATTTGTTAAAATTAGGAATTACTGTGTAATTTGCTTAAGTGTTTGCATATTTTGTGCATATTTAATTAATGCATTGAAAATACAAAAATATAACATCTGCATTTAGAATTTAGTTTTGCATTTTTAGATTAATTAAGTAAATTTCTAATAAATTTACCCCCGAAGAATAAGAAATAAGTACTGGTGTATAAACTACTTACTCGATGTTACACAACAAATATTTTCAACTTCTCTTTGGCTGCAAAATAACCACAAGAATTAAGAATAAGAAATGTCAAATTTTGAGTACTTAACCTCTCAAGAATTCCAAAAACATGAACAAAATATCTTTAAATGTTTTCATAAAACTAAAAAAGAAACCACTACCACTACATAAACACAGTGAGATCCAATGAAGAAAATCAAACATTTTGGATTGTCCGTGTGAGAGGGAAAAAAAGAAGAGAAATGACATAGCATGATAGCAATAAACAAATCTTACTGGGATATTCATGTATAGCAAAAAATGAATCCAACTCAGTCTATGGTTTAAAACAGTCAATTTTATAGATAAATCAAATCATAACAGGTAAAAAGAATGATGGAATCAGCTCAAAGCACACGTCTTTCTTTCATAAAGCACAAACAGAAACAACTTATATATTAATGCTTAGGTAGCTTAATAGTCAACTAAACAATTAGCCATCATATACTTGCTACTGATTCTCTAAATCTTGATTTTATAAAATAAAATAAAAAACAACTTAACAAACTGATGTCTAAATCTTGATAAAAAGAATTATGTACCTTACTACTTGATCAATCTAGTACCTGTTGTGAGCATTACAATATTTCATATTTGTCTACTAATTGTCATTCTAAAACTAATGAACCATTACATGTAGGACAAGGGGCTAAGATACAAACTTCAATCTTTGACTAAAGCAAACAAACTTCAATCTCTAAGAAGTACGTAACGCACATCATTCTCTCGGATGCTAATCAGTTTTTCAAAACAAATTTTCCACCACTTGATCGAAACAGATATTTAGCATATCAAATCAACAGAAAACTAAAGAACAATGAACAACACAAATGGAAACTAGCGCATGTTCATAATTATTCATTTCCTAAGTTCAAGATTGTTGTGAGGCCATGCAAATATACCCACAAGACAATTGCAGAAACCATGAAACAAAACTTGAGGTTTGAAGAGAAGAATATCAAATGGAAAATTATTGAGAACCCCTCAAAGAGTCACACGGTTCCAAAGAGCTTAAGGTTTAAAGAGCTTTCGTGCGTGCCAATTGTCATTGAGTATTCTAAAGTTCGGATGTTAACATGGTTCCAAAAAATAAATATATCTAGTAAACATGGCTCCGGTGTAGTTTTAGATCATATTGCCCAAGTAGCTTCCAAATTCGGTCAAATAAAGCAAAGTATACTTGAGCATAGGCATTCAAATTTTAGGGACGAAATACAGATTCCGAACACATGACACTTTACTAACTCTAGAATTCTAACAAGGAAGAGCACATGTTTAATCAGTTTTACCACAAGAAAATTACTTCATCGTGTATGGCTAGGAGGTAACATGGGATTTAAAATAGTCATGGGAGATTAAATAAATTGAAATGTAAATTTAAAAATGAAGTAAATATGTTAATTGCAAGAATAAAGGGAATCAATATCAATCATACAATTGGTTAAAAATTAGTCATGAATCTCGAAAGAGCGAACTAGCATCGAACTCCAGATCTAAGACCATAGAAAACAGATGAAAAGAGATAGCCATTAAAAGAAAAACGAAGATGGAACATATATGACAATGTTCACAAGAATAAGGCATGGAATCGAGCATACGAAGTCAGGTTTGTGATGGGAATCCATAGCTTATTATCATTGAAAAGCAGAAACATACAAAAGTTCATGTTGTTTACCTTTATCTCAGGAAAACAGTAATTGAGAAGACCCAATTAAAGCCAGAAATTAACGGACAAAGCTCAGCCAATTTCAAAACAACAGCAGGGGCACTTAATAATCCTCTACAGCTCTTGTAAACCCAGGAGAACAGATTTGAACTTTAAAAACTCGTCTATGCTCCTTTGTATTTTTTTCGAGCTCCTAAACTCTCAGATCTTGATTTGATTTCTCAAAATCTCAATCTATTATTTAGCCATTTTCTCGTGTGTGTGTGTGTAAGGTGGTGTTGAAGGGTGAGAGGGTAATGTGAGGAGGGAATAGAGAAGAAGAAGGGGAGGGTGTTCGTTTCTTTTAGCTCAAGAACAGAGAGGTGCGCCGCTTCTTGTTCAAGAGAGGAGGGTTTTTTCATCTGATCCTCCTCTTTTAGGTTTTGGGGAGTGAGTTTTAATGAGATGGGGGCATTGGGCCGGTTCGGTAATGGGCTGGGCGATTTTTAGGTCATTTGGGTCATTTAAATTTTGCCCAATCTAGTTTGAGGCTCAAAAAATAGTCTTTTCTCCTTTTCTTTGTTTCTTTTTTTCTTTTTTTCTTTGATTTAAAAATCTAATTAAAATCCTAAATTAAGTCCTAAATCAATCTAATTTATAAAATTAAACTAATTATCTATTTATACTATTTACATAATTAATTAATTCTAAATTAATGAAGGAAAATTATTAATTTAACACTAAAAGCTAAAAATATAAAAATGAACATCATTTTGTGATTTTCGTTTTAATAATGCTTTCAACTTATGCAATTAAATCTAAAATGCAAAGAGTAAAAATACAATATATTTTTTTATTATTTTCATGATTTGAAATGCTACTGAGTATGAGAAGATTCCGAAAATTTCATAAAAGCAATTAAAACTATTTTTAGAATATTTTAGGAGTATTTTAGACATAGGGCAAAAATAGGTACTCACTGCGACAAATAGCGGGTGAGGCAATAACAATAATAAAGAATGTGCTTTTTAAAGTCATATTCTTATAAAGAATGTTGGGCAGTACTTGAAAACTAGTAGATCTTAATTCTTATGAATATAACCAATAGCACTGAATCGTAAAGAAATTTCCAATAAAGTACATGCTAATAGTGAATCCTTAATTCTATGTTTATATGCTCTTTGGTTATCTATTGATCCTTGGAAAATGAATGTTTGACTTAAAATATTGAACTACCGTATTCAGGTTACTTTTTGTTTAGATTAGATTTTTGTGATTACTTTTTGTTAATCCCTTTTTTTTTTTCCTTGATTTAAAATCCTACTCAAATTGATTAAAACTTAAATTAAATCTTAATTTACATCTAATTTGTAGAATTGAACTTAATAATCTATTTCTACCATGTGAATAATTAATTAACTTAAAACTAATGAAAGAAAATTACTAATTTAAAACGAAAAGCTAAATGCAAAAATTTCTTATTTTCTTATAATTTTAAAATATTAAAAATGCAACTAAATACAAACAAGTAATTACCAAAAATTCTTATAATGAATGAAAAATTAATATTTTCTTATAATTTTAAAATATTAAAAATGCATGAAAAATGCAACTAAATGCAAACAAGTAATTACCAAAAATTCCTACAAAATCTATGAAAATTAAAAACAATTAAGAATTTTGTAGGAGTATTTTAGTCGGAAAAAATCACGTGCTCACATATAGTATATAAGCTATATAAGATGTACATATAGTATAGTATTGTATATTTATATAAGCTATATTCGATAAACTATATATACATCTTATATAAGCTATATAAGATGTATATATAGTATAGTATAATATATATATACTAAGTGCATAGTGTGTGTGTGTGTGTATATATATATATACCGTCTATACATCTGAATGATATTCCAGAAGATAATCCATTATACGGTCATTTACACGTATATTTGGCCACCAAAAAGCAAAGTAATACATTTGTTTCAATCGCTAGAGAAGAGGACAACGATGATATCAAGTCCTATGAAAAACTACCAAAGAAAGAAATAATATTTCTCCTAGAAAACTCTGAGATTCAGCGAAAGGATGAACCATGGAAGATATTCCAGAGATACATAATTAATGGGTTATACTACCTAGGTGAATCATATAAAAACCCGCGCTTATTATGAGACCATCCTCATCAGCACAGGTAGTGCAGAATTCCAGTACTTTTCCGGTTATAACACAAGCGAGAACGTTATAACTTCTCAAAAATTATTATCAAGCAGATTATATCTGTTGAAGAATGGGGGATATCCACAATGAAAGAGAGGCAGATAAGCCTTAATAAATTACCCATGAATTTTACTTACTGGGATTATATCCAGGCATTCGATAGAGTATTATATTATAACAATGATAGACATAAACACACTTGGTTTATTAAAATATGTGCAAAGATAATTGCAGGACCTATCCCTAATTGGTTTCTGAACTGGTGGTCATATCACGGCCCCACAATAAAGATCTTGCCTGAGCCATTTCTTAAGTTATATAAAGAATGGACAAAAAATCCTCCGTTTTAACTGATTTATATCATACAGATCATATCTGTTATTTAGAAAAAATTGATCAGATATACTTCTTCATTGAATTCTCTAATCCGTGGATTCATAAATGGACCCCCGAATTAGGGTTTACTAAAGAACAGATCTCTTGCTTATACAGGGTCTTTTACAATAATTTTTGGGATAAGTTGATGAAGAATGATCTCAAAATAAAATTGTTATACGGTCAAGAATTATTGGATTCCATTAAAGTACAAATCCAGTTATACGCGACCACTCCCCAGAAGAAAATATTTGATGATAGCTCAGTTAAGCATATTGCTAGGAGAATCTCCATTCAAGATGGAGATAAAACTGATTTAATAAACCAATATTGGAAGAAGTGAAAAGAAATTTGCTTCAAACTTTAAGCCAATGTGAAAAATCAGACACATCAATGCAAAATGAAACAAGCAACGATGATGTAGAGGAAGATTCTCAACCTATGATGACAGAAAAGATATTATCTGATAAAAAAATCAAAGAAGTGGAAGATTTCCTACAAACGATGGACAAAGTAGAAGAAAGAAATAGTGGAAAATAGTGAAGCCGCCAAGGACTCCACAACAGGACCCCACTACAATAGTAGAAACATTGTATACATAGTAGATACACTATATACATAGTAAATACACTGTATAAGGGACCCACATAAGGGACCCACTGTACTTTACATAGATTACTTATGTTTTTTTCTTCTTCCTATAAGTAAGAGCCCTCTCTCATTCGGGGAGGCATCAGAAAAATTCCCCTCTCTCTCTCTCTCTTGTAAAGTCTTTTAAGCTTCTTAGCTTCTTCATTTTGTAAATCAGTTGAAGTAAATAAAAGTTTCGAAGTTCAGTTCATCATCTTCAGGGCCTTGCGTCTCAGCCTTAAAGGTATTTTGTTTATTTTATTTTATTGTATAATATTTAAATTACTTTGTTTCTCTCCACTGCCGTGACTATGTCCGGCTAAGCGGATTCATATCTATGTTGAAGAACTAATTTCTCTTACATATTAACTATGAAGAATCCAGACTCTTTTAAAATATAAAGGAATTTTAATATAGTTTCTTGGCTTGGTTCCAAGATTGTGGTACAGTCGACTCTGGTACTACTCTTATTGGCTTTGCCTTAGTGCCTACATCTAGCCAGCTGTGACATTAAAGCCCGCTAAAGTTGTCAAAAGGGCTATCCCTTTCACAGTTAGAACTGCTAGACACATGAGCTCAATAAGAGTATGTATTGGACCTAGACAGGCCCATTGCTTGGGTAAAAGGATAGATCCTTCCATACAGTCATTAAAACTATAATAAAATTCCCGTATATTTCGAATCTTTACTGGTCGTGCAGACTACCGCCAACCTTCAAAGGTACTGAAGCAGCTAGATCTGGATGGCCGTGCGGAATACCGCCCGCCTACCCTGATCCTGGTGTAAATGGTATCAGAGCCTAGGAATTTTCATGGTGTATATGTAATAGAAATATTCAACATAGATATGAAGCTTTTGGAATGGATCTGGGAGAAACAAGTACTAAAAGTACTAGACTTGAAGAGGTAGATATACCTCAAAATCTTAATTTGTTAAATAAATGGACGATTCCTAAAGTTTCTATAAAAATCATTTATGATTATGGTTGGTTTGATAAACTTTCTTCAAAACAATTGATAAAAACGACTGAACAGTCTTTCGCGTTAAATTCTTCTGAACAAACTATTCGTTTGTTAAACAAACACGATATAGATTTATATAAACATCATTATCATTACTTGCATATTGGTATGGTCCAAATTGCGTTTAAACCATTAACCCTTAAAGGAATACCAAAGACCTTTTTAGCAGCTTTTAGAGATGCTAAAAATTTGAACTTCAGACAGTCTCTGATGGGTTCGATTGAATCTACTTGCCTATGGCCCAGTATATTTTAATACTCAACCCAATTTGCGATTGTCTCTTTCTGATATTAATATTCTTGATGCCTTGACTTTAAATGTGAAAACACATGGTTATAATTATGCACCTGGTTCTGAACTTATATGTTTATCTTATAGAATGTATTTCAAATTATTATCCACTTTGAATCCTCGATGTAAGTTATACGATACATCATATCAGACCATATTGGTGGAAACCAATTTTGCAAGGTCTAAGGTCACCACTAGGAGACCTATTAGGTGGGAAGAAATTAATTTCCCAACTACTTGGACTTTAAATTCGGTTATATCCCCAAGTCAGATTACTAATGACTTGTCAAATACTGATTGTTCGCATGTTACTCAAAACCCGGATAGTAGGATTTGTATTCAATTTGATGATAAGTCTACTGTTTATAATAGACATTCGTTTTCTAATCATAGACTTTTACCTGTTATTCAACATATTTCTCTTGTCGAGCCAGTCTATGGTCCAGCTCGAAATCATGCAGCATCGTTACACACTATCGCTACAAACGTGAGTAATAAGTCTGTCGAAAGGGTTAAAATTAACCCACAAACAAATATTGTTCAAGACAATGACAATATTTCTGATAAGAATATTCCTTCTGTATCCGAAATGGATTTCGACCCCAATGATACTTAATGATTCCACACCAAATTGACTTTAGCCCTGGTTCACGGGCAAAAAAATATATTCAAAAAGAATTTTGTAGTGATAAATGGAGCCAGTTTAAAACTTGGTTTTTTGATGCTTATAGCAAAAAAGATTTAAACAGTATTTCTCAAGAATTTTACGAAAATTGTGCTTTGCATAATCAAATTATGTATTTTGTTCCTTGGTTTATAACAACTTATTTGCCTCTTTATATAAAAGTGTTAGAAAGATCTTATAAAGATGGGAGTGAT